GGTTTGTATCTTTCTGTGAATGCCCTTCCCTTTTTTCTTTTTGTAACAGGTAAATGAATGCCAAGTGTTTTTAATGTGGCTCATGAGTCTTTTAATGTGTGGAGTGAGGTGTTTGTGGATTCTGCGAAGAATTTGGTCCCTTCAAATGACAAGTCTTCAACTGTGGCTTGGACTTCTCTCAGGAAACCTGAAAGTTGGAGCCATGATACATGCCTCATGACGATTTGCTTAGGAGAGAGACCTTGATGCCATGTCCACCAAATCTATAGCAGCCTGAAGAGCCGTTCTGGAGATTAATGGTCCCTCATTGATGTCTGCTTTAAACTGTTCTCTTTTGTTGTCAGAGAGAAACTCAAAGGATGTAAGCTGATCAAATACATGGTGTGTATATTTCGCGAGGAGTGAGGAATAGTTTGAGATTCTGAGGTGAAGGCTGTTTGATGAATATGACTTTCTGCCCATTAGATCTAATCACTTCCAGTCTCTGTCATAAGGGACTGTCCAGGTAGCCTGCTGTTTTCTTCTCTGATTGACAGCATCCACCACCAAAGTATTTGGGGTTGGGTGTTGTCATGATCATGAGGGTTAGCCAGCAGCCTGGGGACTAAAGAGTTAACTATACCTAACTCAGGTAGATTCAGCCAATAGGAATGTAGGTAGGAATCTCAAACTCAGACAAAGGCATTTTTGGGTTTCCTTCCTTTGTCTCTGGGAGTTTCTCTCCAGCTATTGAAGGGGACAGGATGTCTCCCTCTAAGAAAATACTCTTCACAGTCTGTAAGTAGGAAAAAGTTTAGATGAATCCGTTAGGTTTTATTGTTTTATGGTTTGGGAAATGGGATCTGGTCTGTGCATTTAAAAATGGGTTTTGTTCTTCTTTGTAACTCAGCTCCTGGCCCATGGTAAATTTCTCCTCCATGAGTATATTATTTTGTTACTGTTCCATCTACTCATTATGCTTGCAACAGGAATATTGTGGTGATAATAAAAGTTCTTTCTCTTTTCTTTTTATTAACCTGGTAATGGTTAATTTTGTGTGTCCTGGTTTGAACTGTAGGGGTGAGATTTCCCAAGTAGTCTCTCCCTGGTTGCTTTATTAATATTTGGGTGGTGGCAGTGGAGATTTTATCCCCAAAATCTAAATTGTTGAGATTTTGGGGGGAAATTTTATACCAAAACCTGGTAGATAAGGTTTTGGGGTACTTTTGCTGGCCCCCACTTCTGCATTTATCATGCCAGAGTGGGGAAGAAGCCATGACAGGTGTTAAAAAAGGAAGTCGGCCTCTTTTGGGGTGACATAATATTTATGGTCCGACCTCTTACATGTCAGAAAAATCGTAGCTGGCATTTGCCAAATAGTTTTTGTTGGGTCCACGAGGGATTCGTTTATGGGGATAGCCAGCCTGGCATGAGAAGAAGCATGCAGTATATTCGTCAGCTTATGCTAAGTCTCAGACATAGCTGACAGGGGTATCTCTAGATTGCCTGCAAATCTTTTAAACATTTCTTGGAACAATTTGAAGTTTGGAGGCGGGGGAACAATTGTATTGTCTGGAGACAATGATGAAATGTGGGTGGGTGGGGGTGAGTCAGGTGTCTGATCTTCACCCGTCATGTCTACCTCCTCTTTTTCCTCAGACAAGATGGAATGAGCAGAAGACTGGGCCGTAGAGACCTGGGGTCTAGGAGTTGGTGGTAGCTGTTGTGGCTGCTGTGTTCTATATCCTGCCCAAAGGTCCCAGTACAGCCAGTTAGGATGGATGGGTGGCAGGAGCCATTGAGGTTGTTGCCACTGCTAAATCTGTTGCGTGGGCTTGGGTGAGGAGTGTCTGGGTATGCATCTGAACTGTATCATCATCATCGTTGTCATTGTCACTCAATAGAGGTGGTGCTGAAGCTGGCATGGTAGAGAGGCTAAATCTTGATTTATTCAGGGTGCTGTCGGTACTGAATAGTGGCATTCCCGGTACTGAAGAGACTATTAGCTTCGCTGACTTGATGAATTGTGGTACCGGTGGAGGCAGGAGTGGAATGGGCACCACTGGAATCTGCACCATTGGTGCTGGCAGTCTGGGTTGCAGCGGTACGAGCTGTTTCGTATGAGCTGCCAGTGACGAGTATTTGGTTAGCAGGGGGCCCTGTGGGAGGCAGCACTGTGGCGCTCAGTGCTGAGGTTAAACGTGCTCTTGTCAGTGCCGTGGTCGACACCAATGGCATTCTTGCCGGTGCCAAAGTGGAGCCTTTTTATTTTTATTTTTTCAATGGATACCTATTTTGTTGGTACTTTGGTGGAGGAAGGGTGGGCCTTCTCCTTGGGGTCTCATCTTGTATTGGTGCCAGCCCCATTCCCTGCCTGCTCTTCTGGCACTCAGATTGTATCGGTGCAGGGGCAGACTTTTTATTGAGAGAGCGCTTCCTCAAGGGGGACTCAGTTCCTGAGGAAGAATGGGACCTCTTTCCAGGTACTTGGGCCCTTTCCTGGTCTTTTGGGCTCGACTTAATGGGAATCCCTCTCTCAGATGCCGCCCCTGGGATGGATGCCTGGGGAGGAGGGCATGCTACGCTCACGGTCTGAGGCAGGTCGAGTGGTCTTCTCCAGCTGTATCATTTTTAGATGGAGTTCTCTGGCTTTTCTCATTCTTGTGAGTTTCCTGCAATAAGGGCACTGATCTGTAGAGTGCTCCTCACCCAAGCAGCAGACATACTCAGAGGGCCTGTCCGATATGGGAATGGATAGTCTGCATCCCGTACACCGCTTAAATCCCGGTGAGCCAGGCATGTCCCAGTAAAAGAACAACTTAGGGAAGTTTCTGCCAATTGGTGCTGCAACAATGAACTATCTATAGACTATACTACTTAAACTTGAACCAGAGAAAACAGAAACCCAGAAAAAAAGGCTTTTTTTTTTTTTTTAAAGAAAAAAGAAACTAACAACTATGGTAATAAAGCTAAGTATTAACTATTAACTCATTAGCTAAGAATGAGGGTGACTGCTAAGCTGCGACCAAAGCCAGTGGTGGTATAGAAGGAACCAAAGAGACAGTTGACTTCGCATGCACGATAGCTGTTTCAAATGTCACGCGCCGGCGTCCTGTGTCTGCAGCCAACCCATGGGCCCTACTACCGAAAGTCTCTGAGTAGAGCTGCATTGGCGCTCAAGCACCCAAGGTGGAGCACGCACAGGGACACTCCTTGAAGAAGTAGTTGCAGCAGCTCAGAGAGCTACACGGGCTAGCTCTCCCAACCCGGAATCCTGGGTACATACTAGAGCAGCCAGTGTCCATGATCTAGCATTTAATCTATCTAGACCAAAAGCTTAATCAAATATTTCTACATGTGCTGCAGTCATATCCATAACTGCAATCAGTACAGTTATAGGGTCACATTTTGATACCCTTGCTCACACTCAGTAGTCCATAAATGGTCTCATTGGACCTGATCCTTCACTGCCTTGCACTTTATGCAGTCATTTACAAGTAGGACTCAAACACCACCCATCTGATTTAGGAGTAGGGATGAGAAAGGTTGACCGGCAAGCATCACCCATTAAGGATAATGTGGGCAATAGTTTTTGAAAGGGGGCCACTTCACAAATTTCTAAAGCGGCCATGGGCTGTCCTGGAAGAGGGTGGGGCCAGAAGCCTTCCTGTGCTCCTCCACCCACAGACCCTGATTGGCCTGGGGGAGGGGGAGAGCATGAAATCTTTGCCCCCTCATCCCCCAGTGCCTAGAAAGAACCACCAGCTGTTTTGAACAGCTGAAGGTTCCCTCTGGTGCCATGCACGCCTGGCGGGGAAAGGAGACTTAACGCGCTCCCCTGTCCCAAGGTCTGGGGGGAGGAGGGAGCAGCAGGGCAGCAGCTGGCTGGATCAACTGGCTTGGCAGGCTGAATCTGGCCCTTGGAGGCTGTCTTGTGCAGCACAGGGATAAGTGATTTGGGTGCAGGAGGGCCTGAGAGGTCTGGGAGGGATTTTAGGTGAAGGAGGCAGTTGTAATCTGGGGCACAGGATTGGGGTACAGACAGAGATGTGGGTTGTGACCTAGGGCAGGGGACTGTGGTGCATGGGTTTGGGTTGTGACCTAGGGCAGGAGGGCATGGTGATCTGGGGCATGAGGTTGGAGTGCAGAGACTGGGAGGGGATAGAGGCTCGTGAGGGGGGCAGAGGAAGGCTCTGGCTGGGAGACACTTACCTGGCTGACTCCTGGCCAGCAGCCCAACATGTTTCTCAGGCAAGAGCCTGCCCTGCCCCTGCATAGGCTGCAGGGCCATGTGTTCTATGAATAAGAGCCTGAGAAGAGGGGGGAATGGTGCTTCACATGCTGCTTGTTCTTCAGGATAGTGCTGAGGGCAGGAGCAGCATTCCCTGCTGTTAAGAGTTTGTGGAACACAAACCGCCCACCAGTCACCTTTCTGAGTGGCGTGCAGGGGAGGGGCAAGCAGGGGAGTCTGCTTGAGACTCCCTGCTGCATCTGCAGGCCAGATCTGGTAGCTTGGTGGGCCAGATCCTGCAGAGAGTGTTTTGCTGAGGCCTAATCTAGCCCTTGGTGAGTATACCGTGCATGGTAACAGGTTTACTTTGTAAAAATATGGTGTAAACTGCAGGCCCGGACAACATAATACCAATGTCCGTGTATAAATCTCAAATTCCTATCTATACTTGTGCCATAAACTATTATACCTAGGCCTAATGAGTATTACATTAATATTTTACATCACTCAAGTGTGCCAGGTATTTTATAGTACAGAGAGACAGTCTGTGTGCTCGCATAATGTATTGGGTGTATCTGACTGGGCCACTGATTAATGAGGCCACTTTAGAAGTCTGCATGAAGATAGAATTATAAACTATTCCTGGAACAGTAGCACCCAACCTGCCTTCCTTCCAAACAGGAGCATTTGCAGTAGCCTGGTCTCCCCCAAAGTGACAGTTTAGAAAGAGCAAGTGCTTATTTTATTGGAATCAGACACATGACATAAAAGATGAGAAAGTCAATTTTACCTGTGAAACAAGACCGATTTGACAAGTGTGACGACATCCCGACTGGCATTGTACCCAGCACAAACAATGGCAACATGGATTGTCTGAGGGAGAAAAGGAAACAAATAAAGTCTTCTTTTTATTTTGCGTTTTATCATTCATTAAAGAGCAAACCGACATGCCGGGCTATATTTATTGCCACAATTGTTAGAGACTGGAGTGGGTGGTCTGCAGCTGTTTGCAGCCCACTTGAGGCAGTTTTGTTAAAAACATTTTAATTGAGTTATAACACCATCATCATTCCAAAGTCATTACTGCTGCTAAATTACATCTGATGTGGGAAAGGCATTGTATTTATCATCTGTGTGAGGAGAGAGAGAGAGTGAGAGAGTGAGCATTACGTTACATATTTATACATGCACACACAGTTTCCAGGTATACTATTAAAGGTGTACAAATATGCACAGATATTCTAAACACTGTTTTATCTTCTGTACTGAGATCTGCAAGTGTATAGAGATCCATTATAAGCAGACATGTTCCAGAAATTTAAATGATCTAAAAATTAAATATGATTATTTTAGCTTTTAATCTGAGGATGAGCAAGGATGGAGTAAGACTCCAAGAATGGGATACTGGAATAGTTTTAACACTTCTGCCCACTCTCCTTTGAATCTGTGGCAGAAGTTTGGCAAGTTCTTCTATTATCTCAAGGAAGGGTAAGGAAAGTTAAAAAGGTGCTATTAATTCTCAGTAATAATTATTAACATGAACATCATTCATTTACCCTGATGTGAATGGTTCACAGTAAATCAGTGCCATTGCTTTGGGAAAATAGAAAATTAACCTTTACAGATTTTGATTTGATCTTCCATTTTTGGGAAAAAAAAAAAAAAAAAAAAAAAACCTGAATCAAGAAGCCAAAGAGAACTGTAGGAATGTCTCACTGGCTTCCCTTTGAAGCTTGGCTAGCTAGTTTCTGACTCAGACAGCTCTCACTTTCTGAAGGGAGCTCCTGAGGCAAAGAGCAAATAGGAATTTTCACGCATAGGGTATGTCTGCACTACCAAGTTTTGCTGATAAAACTTATGTCCATAGCCAAAAGCTGAAAAACCAAAAATCACCAGAGGATGTGCACACTTCCTTCCTCTGTCGACAGATCATGTCCACACTGGGGGCACCAGCGTGAGCAATGCACTGTGAGTGTATGTCCCACAGTGCAGTGTTGTGTGAAGGCAGAGCTCATCCTTGCCCATCTTGGGATTCCCTCCAAATTCTCCCATAGGTTCCTCCACTGCTGGGAGAGGCAACAGGAGTATCTCTGAGCTCTCTGTGCTGAGGAATGCCAAAGCAGCCAGCAGCTTGTCCCCCTCCCTCTGTGTTTCTAGTGCAGGGCAGAACAGAAGCACTCCAATGATTTACTCTGTTCCCCAAACAAAGAGCACACACAGCTGTCAGATACTTACCAGAACTTTGAAAGGGGAAGAGCACGTGCCTGAAGAGCAACAGAGATCAAAACACTGAGTATAACAATTTGCCTATCACTTTATGGAGTTCTAAGCCCTTACTGTCAGTTAAAATCATGTTTAAAAGTCTCAGAGGGGTAGTCGTGTTAGTCTGTAACTGAAAAAAATTAAAAAACTTACCCATGAAAGCTCATGATAGAGACTATGTTTTTTTTGTTAGTCTCTAGGGTGCTGCAGGACCATTTGTTGTTTTTAAAGTTTTTTCACTTAAAATCATGTTAGCAGACTGGCTTTATACACAGCTTAAATTCTACTTCCTTCTGGTGATTGCAGACCAAGTAAAATAATTCTGAAGCCATGCTGTAGACTGGACTTAGACACAATATTGTTTGCAAGCACAGTTTTGCCTGGTCTGTCCTAACCAGAAAAATCAGGTTCTAAACAGTGCTACCATGAGCCTTTCCTGTCTCTAACCAGCCTTTTCTAAGCAAGCCAGTTGAGAAGTTACCAAAAACTGTGCCTCATGCCATCTGTCAGCTGCCAATGCCCTAGATCCTCCTCTTACAGGCTTCTGGCCACAGCATAATAGAGAGATGCTACTTGTTGCTCTGTTGAATGATCTCCTCCTGCCCAGAGGCAAGGGAAACACATCCATATGCCTCCTGCTGGACCTCTCTGCAGTACCTGATACTATTGATCACCAGATGCTCCCGTCTTGCCTCCAAGGTGCTGCGGGAATGAACAAAAATGCTCTGAAATGTTTCAGAGGGTTATTGTGGACAGCTGGTCCCTTAACTTCCAAAATCTTCACATGCAGTATGCTGCACGGCTCAGTCCTCTCCCCCCTATTATTCGACATATGTATGAAGTCCCTGAGAAAGCTGGTGAGACAAGATAGGCTGCATCACTGGCAATACACAGATTCCACCTTATTAGCTCAAAGGCAAAACAGCACCATCAACCAGCTTTCTTTACAGCTATCCATATTCTGCACCTTGATGAAGTGCAGTTCAAATAGAGGCAAGACTGAGCAATAATGGTAAGATGAGAACCCCCTCTTATCTATGAAGTCCCTCACTACCAGGGCCATCTCCCTTTGATTACTAAATTGGCCAGCAGTCTCAGATACTTTCGGAATTCCTCAGGGCATGTCTAGACTACCCGTAGATTCCGAAAGATATGCAAATTTGGCGCAGATTTGCATATCTTTTTCTGATCTCTTTTTTGGAAGAGGTTTTTTTCGTGGAAAAAAAGCAGTCTAGATGGGGTTCCTCCCTTTTCAAAAGAACCCTTATTCCTCAAAAAGTGAGGTTTAGAGGGTTCTTTTGAAAAAGGAGGGGTTTTGTGCGAAAAACCCCAGCTAGAGTGCTTTAAAAAAAATCTCTTCCAAAAAAGGGATCAGAAGAAGATATGCAAATTGGCATATCTTCTTTTGGAAGCCGAGGGTAGTCTAGACGTGCCCTCAGTGCTTCTATCTCAAGTGGCTAGAAGAGTCTGTCCCTCCTATCAGATCCACACCTGGTCACACTGATTCGTGCACTGTGACGTCCAGATCAATGGTCTTCAAGACAAGGTACAGGACCAAGTCACTTGCCTAGCATAAGACAGTGAAGATGCCTTGGAGAAGGACAAGAAAGTTGGTACTATCCTTGTGGACTTGTCAGCTGCCTATGACACTGTCTGGCATTGGGTGCTGACAGTCAAATAGGTGTACTACTTCACGGAAGTGATAAAGATTTGGACTTTCATCTTACAAGCAGGAGACAAAGTTAGCAAACGTAGGCATCTTTGTAATGAATTCCCACAAGAACGTGTTCTAGCGCCTCTTCTTTTTAACATATGTGCTTATGACCTACCAACAACTAAGAGTGATAAGAACGTATATGTGGATGATATCTGTCTCATTGACATCGATAACACTCTATATGATATTAAAGGTTGCTCAGCCAGGATATGAATGCTCCAGTTACTTCCTTTTTCAGTGAAGACTTATATTAACTGAGTCTAAGACTATGGCCTCAATTTCATCGGAATGATCCCCTCACAAATCAACCCCTTACAGTCTGTGTTGAGGATCGCTGTCAAGAGGGCCCCCACCTTGCTGTATGAAAATTGGCTTATGAACATGAATATGCATAACACAAAGACATGTTAGGCAAAATGCATCATGTAACATATTTTAAAGTCACAATCTGCTGAATGTATATGCTATATTTTTGTACATGTATCATTCTTGTATGTGAAGTTAGAAATATGAAGTCTTGATCTGTTTATAGTTTTAAATGTGTTAATGGTGCCATAATTGATACTCCAGAAATTTAATGGCCTAGTGCTCAAGGTAACAATCCATCAATGTGTTTTTTCCCCCCTGTAAGCCTGGATTATGGTTGGTCATGCTAAGACATATGGTCAAGCCCCCTAATGTTGGAATCCATTTTGGATCTTGTACTTTTTCACTCAAGGTAAGGGAAATTTGAACTGAAAACTAAGAATTCCTGTCTTGGGCAAAGGGCACATAAAAGTGGGAAGCCAACAATAGTGAGAGTATCCAGATGTCAGGAGACCCTCCTCCCCTCACTTATTATTCAAGATGCTAGCTGGAAACATCTGGAAACCATGAGAGTAAGAATTTGCATGTAACGAGAGTCTTAGTGTGTTAAGATTAGCTGCTGCGTTGCTTGCCATCACATATCTCCTACTTTTTATGCTTAATGAAAACACTTGTGTTTATGATCAATCCCAGTATAAATAAATTGTTGGGGGGGGACGGGGACGCAACCATTGTGCATGTCTCTCTTTCACTGATAAAGGGACCTGACCTTATGAGCTTTCTCTGAGTAAAACCTAATAGAGTTAGCCAGATTTATTTGAGGTTTTGGTCCTCTTTGGGTACTGTCAATGGCCTTAAACCTGAGTCCTCCCAGAGTTGAGCTGGATCAGTGTCTAAGTTGCTCTGCTGGGGGGGTTGTTACCCAACTCTGCCTTGGCTGGAAGAGACCAGAGCTTCTGTCCCAAGAGGACAGGGTGGTGTGGCACCCCAGAGGTCAGATAGGCAGGATCAGTGGCAGGATCAGCACACTTACCCCAACTAACTTTGCAACATTCTTTAGCAGTGGCCATTCATGCACTCATGTCCAGTATTATCAGTCAAACATCCATAAATAAACAAAGGCATATCGAGGAAGACAGATATGTCATCACAGAATGAAATCCACTGTGGGACAGAGAGGCAGGCATGCTGACAAAGCTCCTGGACTTAATTTTAACAAGCTGGTTACAGGGACAGTCCAAGTGGCAGCCACAATGCAGAAATATGACTTAGACTCGGGTGGCCAATAAGACGGGGATTAGCCCCTGGTAAATACAGCAGCAGCAGCCCACCAGGGGCTAACACTGGCAAGCCACATCCAGACTGCAGGCCAGTTATCGTCCACCACTAGCTTAACTACGTCATCTTTGTGACTATAGGGCAGCAATGCAGATGGTCAAACATGGCAAACATGGCAGAGCAGTGCACAGTTAGAAGATTGGAAGGTGAAGTGCAACACCTGGCTACCTCTGATGATAATTAGGATATTGACTGTGGTGCATATGGCAATGACTTCCAGGCTCAGTTCTGTAACTCTGTTCTAAGAGTGAAGTCACATACCCTGAGAAAGCTCCAGCTGTCACGAAATGTAGCAGACCATCTCCACAAAGACACCTTCACAGTGCTCTGCTCTCGGCACATTCACATTCAATGCTAAATCCACTCAAATCCATTGTCTGAATATTTAGAAGCCTTCCGTGGCATTGCCCATAGCCACTTAACAGTGTCTCCTTCTTTGCAGTCACTCCCCCCAGCAACTACAGTACATTGACAACTACATTCTGCCACAGCAATAAATCGGTTCGCTAGTAGTGCCAGGTCTGTGAATGCAAGGCATTGAACTTTCACAAGCTACGGCTCCAATTCATGCAAGCATGAGATGAGAATGACCACTTGATCAGACCTATGTTACTGAGCTTCCCTTCTCACACATGCAATTCATCATCCACACAATTCCCTGCTGACTCTCACCTAAACTGGCTCCTAAGAGAAGGGTGTGTAAAGACATTACTCTCCCCTCAGAAAAGGTCCTCGTCTGCGAGCTCCTGTTTCTCTGCGCTTCCCAGGTTCGACATGACCTCGTCAGAAAAGCTATGCCAGCCCACAGGACACATAAGCTATAAATGTTAACTATCATCAGCTACCTCAATGAAGATTATCACCCGGGCCATATGTTATCCGAGAATAACATTTTAATCACATTTAATTGCCTTTTCAAATGTTTCATAATTATTGAAACTACCCCAAATGGAGAGTTATTAAATGTTTCAAGAACTGAAAAGCTCTTGATGGTGACCTCAGTCTATCATCAGCACTTTTATTCTCCTACATTGTTCTATACTTGCCCCTTCTTTTGTACTGCTTCCCAGTCCCTTCCCCACTCTACACTCCAAATCTTGCTTCAGGCACTCTTAGGTCAGCGAACGCAGAAAGATTCAATTAATACCTGCAAATTTCCAAAGACTGAGAGTGGGGTGTGTGTGGGGAGTGAGCATGTATGTGTACTCATCAGCACTTTTATTCTCCTACATTGTTCTATACTTGCCCCTTCTTTTGTACTGCTTCCCAGTCCCTTCCCCACTCTACACTCCAAATCTTGCTTCAGGCACTCTTAGGTCAGCGAACGCAGAAAGATTCAATTAATACCTGCAAATTTCCAAAGACTGAGAGTGGGGTGTGTGTGGGGAGTGAGCATGTATGTGTACTGTTCGTTTCTCTCTCTCTCTCTCTCTCTCACACACACACACACACACACAC